TTGGAGCATTCTTTGGCACTGCCCTTCTTTGGGATTGGAATGTAGACTGATCTTTTCCAGTCTTCTGGCCACTGCTGAGTTTTCTAAACTTGCTGGCATATTGAGTGTTTTTAGCTGTACCTTTTTTTAAAAAACATGTGTGGTAAGCTGCCTTAGGTCCCAAATAAGAGAAAAGCGGTTGGTTGGGTGGTTAGTTAGTTATGTTGATTGGTTGGTCTGGGGAAAGAGATAAGTTTGGTAACAGAAAACTTGCCCATAACTCCCTTCTCAGGTGGAGCTGAATCGGGCGTACCGCATGCACAGCCTGCAGACCAAAGTAGCCGCCTCCATCTACATCAATTCCCGCAGTGTCTTCCTGAGGACGGACCTGAAAGAAGGCCGCTACGTCATCATCCCAACCACCTTTGAGCCAGGCCATGTGGCAGAGTTCTTGCTCAGACAGTTCGCGGATGTGCCTTCCGACTGCCAGTAAGGGACACCTCCCTCCTTGCCCAGGATACTGATATGCAGGGAACTTAAGGCAGAGAAAAGGAAGTGCTTTTATCACACAGCACATAATTAACCTATGTAGTTCACTGTCTCAAGATACGGACAACAAAGATGTCTTTACCTTGAGTAAATCCATGGAAACTGGGCGGCTAGCAACAATTTCATAATACAATAACAGTATAAAATAAAATGACAACATTCATATGATTCAAGATGGCAGTCCCCCGGGTCCTTCAGTCAAGATATTTGTTCCCATGTATTTTTTGCACCTTGAATGATCAGCCTTGACAATCTGTACTTTTGGTCTCTTGCCAGACTAAGCTTTCTGCACTCTCTGTGTCTTATGATTTCTTGACCTTGAGTCATTCACTTTAGTACTTCTTCGTGGGTCACCCTCTCAATCAAAAAAAAAATTCCTTAGCATCCCAAAATAAATCCACATATCAAGTGCTTCTGTGTTTTTGATCTTTGTCTTAAGTTGAAGTGTGGGATTTTGTGCCATGCAGTAGAATGGAGAATATGTGAAAAAAGAAAGTACAGCCTCTTTGAACTCTAAGGTTTTACCTATCAGAACATAATAAAAAGCATCTGGTCCTCAGCAGGTCTGAAAATGAGGCAAATACAACCTCAGATGAACAACAAGACACATGACGTATTACACCATGTCATGATTTTCAGACCTGCTAAGGACCAGATGCTTTTTATTATGTTCTGATAGGTAAAACCTTAGAGTTCAAAGAGGCTGTACTTTCTTTTTTCACATATTCTCCATTCTACTGCATGGCACAAAATCCCACACTTCAACTTAAGACAAAGATCAAAAACACAGAAGCACTTGATATGTGGATTTATTTTGGGATGCTAAGGAATTTTTTTTTTGATTGAGAGGGTGACCCACGAAGAAGTACTAAAGTGAATGACTCAAGGTCAAGAAATCATAAGACACAGAGAGTGCAGAAAGCTTAGTCTGGCAAGAGACCAAAAGTACAGATTGTCAAGGCTGATCATTCAAGGTGCAAAAAATACATGGGAACAAATATCTTGACTGAAGGACCCGGGGGACTGCCATCTTGAATCATATGAATGTTGTCATTTTATTTTATACTGTTATTGTATTATGAAATTGTTGCTAGCCGCCCAGTTTCCATGGATTTACTCAAGGTAAAGACATCTTTGTTGTCCGTATCTTGAGACAGTGAACTACATAGGTTAATTATGTGCTGTGTGATAAAAGCACTTCCTTTTCTCTGCCTTAAGTTCCCTGCATATCAGTATCCTGGGCAAGGAGGGAGGTGTCCCTTACTGGCAGTCGGAAGGCACATCCGCGAACTGTCTGAGCAAGAACTCTGCCACATGGCCTGGCTCAAAGGTGGTTGGGATGATGACATAGCGGCCTTCTTTCAGGTCCGTCCTCAGGAAGACGCTGCGGGAATTGATGTAGATGGAGGCGGCTACTTTGGTCTGCAGGCTGTGCATTCGGTACGCCCGATTCAGCTCCACCTGAGAAGGGAGTTATGGGCAAGTTTTCTGTTACCAAACTTATCTCTTTCCCCAGACCAACCAATCAACATAACTAACTAACCACCCAACCAACCGCTTTTCTCTTATTTGGGACCTAAGGCAGCTTACCACACATGTTTTTTAAAAAAAGGTACAGCTAAAAACACTCAATATGCCAGCAAGTTTAGAAAACTCAGCAGTGGCCAGAAGACTGGAAAAGATCAGTCTACATCCCAATCCCAAAGAAGGGCAGTGCCAAAGAATGCTCCAACTACTGCACAATTGCACTCATTTCACATGATAGCAAGGTTATGCTCAAAATCCTACAAGGTAGGCTTCAACAGTATGTGGACTGAGAACTCCCAGAAGTACAAGCCGGATTTCGAAGGGGCAGAGGAACTAGAGACCAAATTGCGAACACGCGCTGGATTATGAAGAGAGTTTCAGAAAACCATCTACTTCATTGACTACGCAAAAGCCTTCGACTGTGTGGACCACAATAAACTATGGCAAGTTCTTAAAGAAATGGGAGTGCCTGACCATCTTATCCATCTCCTGAGAAACCTA